CTCAGCCCCAGAGAAGGTACCATTTAAAATTTATTTGCTCTAGCTTGTCAGATTCTATAGTTACGCTATTACCAAGTGTTGTTGTTTTGAATTTTCTCATGTTAGTTTCAGAAGTGATCTTTGGACAAACACTCCTGGAGAAGTAGAATAAATTACCATCATTTTGAGAATTCCCACTCAGCGAAAAATCTCTTCTGTGACATAATAAGCAGCTAGGTCAGAAGTGATTGCAAGTGGAGGTGTGCTGCCCAAAAAAATAAAAAAAGTCTGTTCAACTCAGCAGTGCCATTATTTCTCATTGTTCCAAAAAGTTTTTTGGTCTTTGCTCAAGAAAATAAACCTCGGCATATACAATTTTATGACATGTCAATCCTTCCAGTACATGTATTGTAACACTGTTGACTCCTCATTTGCATAGTTGATGTTTGCAAATCCGATTATTTATGAACTTAATTGACATGTTGAGAAACTATGGCTCCCACTGGTGGCGCAGTGGGTTAAACCGCTGAGCTGCTGAACTTGCTGGCCAAAAGGTCGGCAGTTCGAATCCGGGGAGCGGAGTGAGCTCCCGCTGTTAGGCCCAGCTTCTGCCAACCTAGCAGTTCAAAAACATGCAAATGTGAGTAGATCAATAGGTACCGCTCCTGCGGGAAGGTAATGGTGCTCCATGCAGTCAGGCTGGCCACATAACTTGGGAGGCATCTACGGACAATTCTGGCTCTTCAGCTTAGAAATGGAGATGAGCACTACCCCCCAGAGTCAGACACAACTAGACTTAATTTCAAGGGGAAAATGATCAAGGGTCTGGAAAACAAGCCCTATGAGGAGTGGCTTAAAGAGCTGGGCATGTTTAGCCTGAAGAAGAGAAGGCTGAGAGGAAACATGATAGCCATGTATAAGTATGTGAGAGGAAGTCATAGGGAGGAGGGAGCAAGCTTGTTTTCTGCTGCCCTGGAGACTAGGACACGGAACAATGGCTTCAAACTACAAGAAAGGAGATTCCATCTGAACATTAGGAAGAACTTCCTGACTGTGAGAGCAGTTCAGCAGTGGAACTCTCTGTCTCAGAGTGTGGTGGAGGCTCCTTCTTTGGAAGTTTTTAAACAGAGGCTGGATGGCCATCTGTCAGGGGTGCTTTGAATGCAATATTCCTGCTTCTTGGCAGGGGGTTGGACTGGATGGCCCATGAGGTCTCTTCCAACTCTATGATTCTATGATTCTATGATTTTAGGGGAAACCTTTACCTTTACTATGGATCCTCCAGTGGTCTGCTGGAAATATAGCCATGCTGGGTGATCTAAAGATTCGTAGAGAACATTTCTCTAGGGATCTCTCGATCCTCCAGTACAGTTCTGTAGTCAACTTCCAGGAGAGTAATGATGGACAACTGAAGGATTCCTAGAGAGGTGTTCTTTTAGGTAAAGAAAAGAGCAATTTTATTGTTTCTGGGTTTTTTTCCTACTTTAGCAGCAGTGTTCCTAACTCCAATGAATGTGGACAGCTTGACTGTACATACATTTCATTAGCCATTCATCTGATAAAGAGACTATCATGTTTCTCACTGCCATTGCTCTTAAGTAGAGTCAGGAGCCCTTCAGAGAAGGCAATAGGCAGTTGACTGACGGCTTCATTAGATGGGGCTATTCTTGGATGCATACACCAGTTCAGCTGTAGTTTAGCCTCAGAGCCCACTGGCTCCCATCCCATGACGCACAGCTACTTCTGACAGGGATCCATGGATAAACTATAGCTGAACCAGCATATGACGCCGTCACAGCAATATGGGAGGCTTCCTATGCTGCATAGAATTGTTGCTGACATAGTAAATGTGGATACAGAGTTAGCATCTGTGTTTATTGGTAAGGTCCTATATTACAATCTATGTTATATATCCTGTTACAAGTTTGACACAACTTTAACAGCCATGGCTCAATGCTATGGAATCATGGAAGTTGCAGCTTCACAAGGTCTACAATCTTCCCTGCCAAAGACTGCTAAACGAAAGTGTTTTCTTTATTCTTCCCAATATTGTTGCTGAATGCTACAAGGTGAAGGAGAAGGAAGGAAGGGGTGGCTGCCTGTTTTTGTCTGATTTGGGCAAAGAAAGGGGTATGCCATTGTCATTTGCATAGGCTCTAGTCTATTTGCCAGCCTGTGCGCAGCTAGTTAGTAGCCAGCTGCATTAAATGACTACTGACCGAGAGGTCATGCATTTGAAGCCAACTCAGGTCGGAGTTAGCTCCCAACCATTAATAGTCTAGCTTGCTGTTGACCTATGCAGCCTGAAAGACAGAAGCTAGTTTAACTATTCATGACACCATAAAACCTTCCAGCAGCATGTGGAAGAATGAGGAAGTACTCCATTAAAGGACTCAGCGTCACAAGTGGACGGTGAAGCGGCAGGTCCCCCTGTGGGCGAAATCAAGCATGCCTTCATGAAGTCAGAAAAAGCTGGAATGTTAAATCCTCTGTCTGTCTATATATGTTGTATGTCTAAATGGCATTGAATGTTTGCCATGTATATGTACATTGTAATCCGCCCTGAGTCCCCTGCGGGGTGAGAATGGCGGAATATAAATACTGTAAATCAATTAATCAATCAGTCTTGTCCCTATTCTAGCACTGACCCATGTATAAGTCAAACCAGGTTTTTAGTTTGCTTTTTTAACACAAAAATCCCAGTAACTTATATGCAAATATATATGGTAATTCAGTCATATCAACTACAATGAAAATACATTATTATGGACATGATATTTTACAAAATTCACTCCAGGCTAATAGATTTGTCCCCAGAAAGAGCACAAAACAACACTGATGAATCTTGAAAACATATTTTCTTCATCTGCGCGTGAAGCAACAAAGCGCAACCTGGCTCTTGGATGATCTTTATAATTATCAAAATCATGGTCATTGTAAAGAAATTGTGGGTGCTCTGAGGTTTGCTCAAACAAACACCTTTGAAACTAATCATAAGCATCACAATCATGGACAACATGCAATCACGCTCGATATAGGCAACGAAAAACACCAGGTTTGAGATACTCTGGGCCTCTATTCATTAGGGACTTTTGGAGCTGAAAACTATCAGGGAAAAAGTAACTCTGGCAGGCACATTAAAGTAATGTTTCTCTTGCTCTTTTATGTTCTTGCTGACTCAGGGAGTCATAGAGTTTCAAGAAACCCAAAGGACCACCCAGTCCAACTGCCCATCATATAGGAATACACACACCAAGTACTCCCAACAGATGGCCAACCAGACTGTTCAAAAAATCTCTAGAGAAGGAGAATCTACCCAACTCACAGTGTATTCCATTGTCAGACATTGTTGAAAGTTATTCCTAAAGCTAAGATGAAATCACTTTTCCTGTATTGTCAAAGGCTTTCATGGCTAGAATCACTGGGTTATTGTAGGTTTTTTTGGGCTGTATGGCCATGTTTTAGAAGCATTCTCTCCTGACATTTCACTTGCATCTGTGGCAGGCATCCTCAGAGGTTGCTTGCCACAGATGCAGACGAAACATCAAGAGAGAATGCCTCTTAACATTATGCTAAATGTCCTTTGACCAGATTCTGGCCACTTAGAGTGCCTCTGCCATTGCTGTGAGAAGGTCCTCCATTGTGCATGAGGCAGAGCTCAGTCTGCATTGTAGTAAGTGGTCTGTAGTTTGCTCTTCTCCACACTAGCATGTCATGGACTCCAGTTTGTAGCCCATTTCTTAAGGTTGGCTCTGCATCTGGTGGTGACAGAGTGCAGCCTGTTTAGTGCCTTGCAAGTCACCCAATCTTCTGTGTGCCCAGGAGGGAATCTCTCATCTGGTATCAGCCGCTGATTGAGGTTGCCACTTTTGGACTCTCACTTACTGAGATGTTGCTGTAAGTGTCTCTATAGATCTTAGGACACTCTTTCTTTGAAATATCTTATCAGTTATACTTCCCTAATTACCCTTTAGCAACAGTTCCTCCTATCTATATCCAACATTTTATATAATACTAGCTTAGGTACCCAGAGATGCTGGGTTAGATTTTGTGTACTGTTGTTTATTAGAAGTAATCATTGTTTGTTTTGTAGATCTTAGGAAGCTATTTCTTAATTTAAGACATTGGCTTGCTGGTTGATATTTGAACAGAGGATGAAGCTGGAGATGTCATGCCTTGGTCCTTTCATTACAGGCTGCTACTTCCCAATGACCGTCAGGTGGCATAAACAGTATAATTAGTCCAGTGGTGTAGGGTGCAGACATCCTGTGATAATGCAGCATGTCTCATTAAGATCCACATCCACTGTTGTGGTGAGATGTATTCTACACTATTATGTATTCAATGTGGTGAGATGTGTTCTACACTGGGCATTTGTATTCAGCAGCAGAGTAGCAAAGCGCAAGGGCAGATGTCTTCATTGTGTCTGGTCGTGGTCCCCAGGTTGTGCCAGACAGCTTTCGTACGATATTATTTCTGGCACCCACTTTTTACTTGATATTCAATGGCTTCCTAAGATCTACAGAAACACTCACAGAAACACCTCAGCAAGCAAGAGTCCAAAAGTGGCAGGTTAAAACCCGGAACTGTAATCAGTGGGTGAGACCGGATGAGAGAGTCTCTCCTGGGCACACAAAAGACTAGGTGACTTGAAAGGCACTGAACAGATTGTGCTCTGAAACCACGGGATGCAGAGCCAAACTTCAGAAAAGGGGCTACAAAGTGGAGTCCACGACATGCAAGTTTGGAGAAGAACAAACCACAGACCACTTAGTTTGAGCCCTGTGTCCAGGGAGATAAAGTGTATTATATTATCACAACATTGTCTTGGAAAGAGATGTGTGTTTAAAACCAAAGGGTTTGGGGAAAATAGGAAAAGTTCTCAAACAATTCAATTCTTTGGGATAGCAAGGTTCTGTCCTGGGTATCAAAACAAACAAGAATAATCTTCCAAACAAAACTTTATTTCCACATTAAAAACATGTACAAGATGATTAAATATAATTAAAAACATGCACAGCAGCAACTTTATGAATCTCAAGACAATAAATATTTCTGATTTTTAAAAATTCAAAGTTAAAATAAATTGGTTTGACAAGTCACCATTTCTTCCCATTATTTAACAACTCCATGCAGGCAGACTGATCTTGTCTAACCCAGGTTTGGTAACTCTGCACCTCCCAGAATTCCCCAAGCATTCTTGTCTGGAGATTTCTGGGAGTTGCAATCCAAAAAAAGGCCCACCTTACTTTTTCCTCAGCTTAGCTTAAGCACTGCAAGGAGAAACCCCATTCTCTCAGTTCGAAAAAAGGTCGGAGCGCCTCCCCAGAGAGAGGTTCTATATGGAAAGAAAAGATGAATCCATTAGTATCACCATCAAAGAAATCCACCCGGCCACCCTCATAATCCAGGGCCACAAGAATCTTGGTGGGCTCTTGAGTCAAGGTCAAAACGATTGGTTCGGGTAAGACGACTGCCAAGATCTCGCAAGCAAAGTACGCAGCACCCCTGAATGGCTTCCTCAAAGACCAGACCCCCTCTTCAGGGCTTAACTGCAAAACCCCCTTTCTCTTCATGGACTCCCTTGCGATGCCAATGGCCCAGCTTCCCAGCCCCAATGTTTCCACCACCCACCAATGGATCCCAGAGGTAAACTTCTGAGAGCCAAGGGCACAGGTCTCCCAGCTAAATCTCTCTGGGTTGTTCGGCATGGTCTTCTTCAAATATTCCCTTTTCTTCTTCTTGGATTCCCATGTCACAACCTTCTGATCCTCAGACAGATTGAGGTAGGGATGGGCCGTGTCCGGATCAAGAGTCACACACACTGCAGGAAAGTAAAAACAAAGAACTATGAGATACATACTTGGGTGGACTGAGGGTAAGCAGCCATGTTATCGACTGTCTTTTCCTAGAACAGAGGAGTCAAACTCATTTTTATCAATGACCACATCACTCTTATGGTTGCCTTCAATGTATGTACTAATTTGTTACTTTATTTATGTTAGGGCATGTAAAAAAATCAGTTGGTGAGTGTCTTAACTGAAAAATGCAAAGCACAAAGTTGATAGGCTGGGCGACACAAGCTGAGCCTGGGAGTTTTGGCAACAGTTGCATTTTTAGGCTTTAGCTGTGCAGGAGCTTGCAGAGAGACAGTTTGTGTTCTTGCTTCATGAGCTGCTGGAAGAAGATCTTCCACATGGACACCTAAAGACCATTGCGTGAGTCAGTGCAACTTTTCACGCAACTGAACATATGTTGCTCTGCATTACAAAAAATTACTGTATCACATATTTCTTTCTCTGGCAAGACAGTGTGTGGATTGGTAAAATGTGAACTATGCATGATTTTCATTCCGCCACAATTTATGCCCCATCTTTCTCATTCAAGGTGGCTAACAACCATACAATCTGATCACAGGAATTTGGGTACTTAAAATGCTCACATCTCTGGGGTCATACTATTTAATACCCTAATCAAGGCAAGAGGCAACCACTGCTATAGAATTGATCATCATCATGCCTTTCTTCCAAAATTAGGAGTCAAAGGAGCATTAAATTTGATTTTAAACAGTACACTTAGGCTTTTAAAACATAAAGCTTTTCAAGAACAGGCTATCAGAATAGAAAAGCCTTTGTGTGGTGCAAGGTCTTCCTTGGGAAGGGTCTTCCAGAATCTACAGCAGTGTTTCTCAAAATGTGGTCCTCCAGGTGTTTGGATTTCAGTCCCCAGAATTCTTGATCATTGGCCAAGCTGGCTTCTGGAGGTTGAAGTTCAAAATACCTAGAAGATCAAGATTTGGAAGCCACTGAAGAGGCAACCATCAAGAAGGCCCTCTCCTGTACCCCAGTAGTTTGTGATGGTGGTGGGACTGAAAGAAGAGCATCTCCAGATCACTGATCAACACACATTTTGGTGCCTCAAATGTTAGATTTGTTTCTGGATATATTCGATCTGCTGATTCCAGCTTCCCCCTAACCACTCTAGTTTTTGAGATGCAGAACATTTGCCATCTATCAGTCACCATCTGCTTGATCATCAAAAACCATGATAACCACACCTAAGAAACTAAAGCTGGTGATGTCTGGTTAATATAATTTTCTGAATCAGTACCCCAAATAAACCCAGGATTGGGTCTAAGAAACAAGGCATTGAGATTTCTTTTTGTTGGGCTGTGTTACCTCAGTTCATAGCATAGGCTCACACATAGTGATATTGGGCTGCATATATACTGCAGAATTAAGGCAGTTTGACCCACTTTAACTTTTTTGGGTAAGTGCTATGAAATTGCAGGAGTTGTAGTTTGTTGAGGCACCAAACAGTAAAGGCCAAAAAATCTTGTAATGGTACAACTCTCAGAATTTTGAAGCATGGAGTCAAGGCAGCTTTTTTTTTAATGTCAGGAGTGACTTGAGAAACTGCAAGTTGCTTCTGGTGTGAGAGAATTGACTGTCCACAAGGACATTGCCCAGGGGACGCCAGGATATTCTAATGTTTTTACCATCCTTGTGGGAGGCTTTTCACATGTCCCCGCATAGGGAGCTGGAGCTGACAGAGGGAGCTCATCCGCACTCACCCCGGATTTGAACCTGCGACCTGTCGGTCTTCAATCCTGCTGGCAGGAGGGTTTAACCCACTGCACCACCAGGTGTGCAACTAAAAAGACATCACATTGCATTAATTCTACAGCATAGATGTGATCTTACTCTACCATATACCTTGGACCTTAACCATTTCGGGCCTCAATAAGTCATCCCAGCATTTTGGTACCTGGAATTTAACATTCCTTCACAGGGTATGACAAATATAATAACACATAAGGCTTCTGAAATATCTTTGGATAGTATGCTGGCAGCCTTTGCATCCAGAAAGCAGTGATAATATTTCTATATTGTCGGGATGGAGACTGTGAAGAGGTGGCAAGGAGTTATTTGCATACTGGCTCTCCAATGCATGAGCTCATGAAATTATATTCCCAAAATCTGCTCTTTGCCAAGATATCACCAGACCCCATCCACATGTCATTACATTTATATCCCATTTTCCTTCCAAAACCTCAAGGATCCTTCTCACTTTACTCTCACAACCAGCTTTCATGGAAGATCTGCCATAGCATTGATTTACATGACCATTTAATAAAGGTCAAAGCTCACTTCAAACAGCAATGGCCAAACAACAGGCTCTCGCCAATATGCACAGTAGTTTGTGTAATCATCATCCAAGTCTCAAAGTTGTTCCAGGATCTCCATACTGAAACCACTTTCTTCAATACTAGCTAGAAACTGCATTTAATGGTCAGTATAGATGGAGCCTGAGAACAATTAGTCGAAATCACCCCCAAGTTTTTTTGACTTAGTATAAACTAGAACCAAGATCTCCCAACTTGCAATCTCACACTATAACCACTATACCATACTACCTCCCATCCCATCCGAGCTCATCTCAGCTAACCATCATGTCTAAGAACATACATTTATTCCTACTCAAGTATTTGATGACTGGAAAAGAAAATGTCAACAAAATGTTGTTCAAGAAGTTCAAGTCAGTCAAACCAGAGGCCACCAACCAGCCCTAATATTCCACCATTGAATAAAGGGCTGCTGCTAAGGCACTATTAAACACTTCCCGTGTTCTTAAAGTTTCTTTCAGACACTTACCTTTATTTGCTAATTTCTTTAGATTATCTGTTAGAGAAACAGAAAAGAGGACAAACTGTGAGTCAAACCAACTTAATTAAGTATCTTGGAATTGGGACCTAAGCCTAAGCACAAAATGCACTGATGTTTCATAGATATACAATATACAATATTTTGAATAATTCTGTGCATGAAGGAAAATCTGTGTACATTGAACCATCAGAAAGCAAAAGTGTCGCTATCTCAGCGACCTATGTGGAGAATTTTGGAGGATTTCAGATTTCCAGATACGGAATTGTTAACCTTTATCTATTACTGAATGGAGCCCCCAGTGGTGCAATGGATTAAACCCTTGTGCCAGCAGGACTGCTGACCAACATCTATTCATACTCATCTTTTCACGTGGTCAGTCTCGTGGAATACAATGGGACTTAACACTCCAAGACCAGCATGTACATGTTCTCAGCTTAAGTTAAGTATTTAAATCAGGGATGGGACAAATTTTTGCCACTTCAAGAGTCAAAAATGAATGAATGGGGGAGAAGTCAGGGAAAGAAAATGTCTCCGGATCAGCATTCACATCTCTCCTGTAATACAGCTAAAGCATCATGTCCCAACAAACTTAAACCCAGAAAATTACCTGCATCCAAGGTTCGTTCCAAAATGGCTGGACTCAGAGCTTTGTCTACATACTCTGTTACAGAAAGGAAAAGGTTGACAAAATGATTAAGCTAAAAACACCAAAAAGTCATTTTATATCCAGGAAACATCAACAACAAAGGTCTTGCACTCTCACACAAATCACAGAAGCATGACACAATAGCTCTCTGTCAAAATCTTAAGATCACAGAATCATACAACAGATCTCAGAATCATAGAGTGGGAAGAGACCCCAAGGATCAAGCAGTCCAACCCTTTCCTGCATAGTTCAGATTAAAACCTGAACCAGATCTTGATCAGAACTTACTTCACTAAATTTCCTTCCAGGATCCCACCTTATATTGGAAGTAGGCTTGGTTGATTAAAAAAAAAAAAGTGCAAAACTAGTTTCGGATGTAGGAGACACTGGTGGTTCGATTCGGAATTGAATTCCAAATTTTTCCAAAAAAAATTCAGAACTTTTTGAAATTTCCGAATTGCTTCGTTAATGGCTGACGTGATTGCGCAATACACGAAAAACAGCACATGGCAAACTTCAGGGGATTCTTTCTCCCTGATTTCAAAAGTTAGGGAAGTTTAGGCATGAAAGTATGGGATTTCTAGTGTCTTCTTAGGCAACTCACAGCAAACAAAGAAAAAAAACAAACAGCCTTGAGAGCTTTTGGGGCCTTTTGAGCAGATTTCACCAGTCAGGGAAGTATAGGCAGGAAAGTATGGGATTTCTAGTGTCTTCTTAGGCAACTCACAGCAAACAAAGAAAATAACAAACAGCCCTGCCCTTTTTGCCTTGGAAGCTAATTCCACTACTTTGGGAAGGAGAGCTTGTGTTCAAAGAGTGGCTTGAATTGATGGTACATCTAGTTCTTTTGAGGCAATATGCAACACAAACTAAAAAAACACTGAGACCAGAGAGACCAACTACAACATTGGCTTTTAAAAATGTTGGAGTAAGAGCTTTGATTCCTTCATGTTGCTCCTTCCACCCACGCCACTCACCCACACACTACCCTCACGGTGCCCACCCAACCCAAACCCCAACAGCAACAACACACAAGAGGAAGGCTGCCCACTGCCCAGCCAGGCAGGCAGCCAGGCACAGCTGGCAACAGCCCTTCTCCCAGCCCTTCTTCCTTTCTGCTTGCTTGCTTGCCTGCCACGCTCTTCTTCCAACCTCCCTTCAACACAACCTCCCTTCCCTTAGTCTTGGTCTTTCCCTTTCCTTCTCCCTTCCCTTCCCAACTCCGAATGAGCCTCTGAGCCATGTGCTGCCAGTGCCGAAATTCCTCCCCTCCCCAAAACGTCTCCCCTTATTGGCTGGGAGGGGAGGCAAGAAGCCTTCCAGCCTCTCAGAAGACTAGAGGGCTGAAAATACACTGAATATTTCCAACGCACTTCCTGAGACCTAACAAAAATGGCGGAAAAAGCTTCGGAAGGGCAAAGGGACTTCTGGGTTTATAAAATGCTTCAAAATGGCTTCAAAAAGGTAACTTTAATGAAATTATTGCGAGTAATGAGTAATCATACGCGGCTCTATCCATGCCTAATTGGAAGCTATGCAGGTTAATCCCTGGTTGGTACTAGAATGGGAGGTTACCAAGAAATACCAGGTACCAAGGGCTAGATTTCATAGAATCATAGAATCAAAGAGTTGGAAGAGACCTCATGGGCCATCCAGTCCAACCCCCTGCCAAGAAGCAGGAATATTGCATTCAAATCACCCCTGACAGGTGGCCATCCAGCCTCTGTTTAAAAGCTTCCAAAGAAGGAGCCTCCACCACACTCCGGGGCAGAGAGTTCCACTGCTGAACACCTTGAGTACTCCTTGCTTGCCTAAGAAAACCTTATGAAATTCATGGAGTTGACCTAAGTCAACAGGTTACTTGATGGAACATACATCAACACATATACTAGAAGCAACCCATTTTTGAGTATCAATTGCTAGGAAGTATGAGAGGGAGAGAATTTGTCCTTCATTGCTTTGCTTCTGGGCTTTCCAAAGGGATCTCATTGATTACTGTGTGAACAGAGAGATGGTTAAGACCAGCCATCTTTGGTCTGATCTATGGAAAGTCACTGGGTTACTTTGGGCAAGTTACATTCTCTTAGCCTCAGAGGAAGGCAAAGGCAAACCTCCTCCAAATTACTCTTGCAAAGAAAACCCCATGATGGATTTACCTTCAGGTCACCATAAGGTGGAAAGAACCTGAAAACCCACAGAGATGCCTCAATTTAGGCTACCCCAAAATACCTTTATAATTCTGCACCGCGTTTTCCAAGATAGAATTTTTAAGACAAGCAAATTTAAGTCTCTCCTCCAGTTTGGAAGAAATGTCCCGGATGTACTCTTCTATGTCCTCCTGAGACCTGGAAAGGAATATGATGCCAGATTAAGAAAAATATTTTCTTACAACAACCAAGGTAAAACAGACTAGACATAACAGAATAGAACAGATTACCTTGGAGCTTCATCAGATCGGGTTCAACAAATACAATGACTAAGATTTCTAAAATGGGCATGACCAATCTATAAAAGGACTGGGTAAGGGATAGTGCAAATAGCATACCATGGGGCCAGAAAAGTGGATGAAGTGCAAAATAAAAGTGCTGTATAAACTGAAGTATAAGCCACTTTTTTTAGCCCCCTTTTTAGGATGAAAAAGCTCCCCTCGGCTTATACTCGAGTCATTATTATTTATTATTTTGCTCTGTTATTAGTATTATTTATTACATTTATTGTTTTATTATTATTACATTTATTATTTTTATCTATTATTACATTTACATTATTTACTCTAGTATTATTAATTTATTATTTTACTCTGTTATTATTACATTTATTATTTTACTCTATTAATACTGTTATTATTACTTTTCCATTATTTTATTCTATTATTATTATTATCATTATTACACTGAAAAAGGTTAGAATAATGGTTTAATCAGAGTTGGACAGTCTTATCTTAAATTACAGTTTTATGTAAATACTAGTTGTACCTACCACGCATTACTGTGGCCAACCTTCCCTCCTTCTTTCTCTTCTTTTTTCTCTCCTTCCTTCCCGCCCTCATCTATCTACCTACCTACCTATCTCTATCTAATCTATCTCTCTTATCTATATGGAAGATTGCTGGGAGTTGCAGTCCAGGAATAGGAAATTGGAAATATGCAGGGATTGGGATGCTCTCAAAGAAATCCAAGGAGAAGAAAGCTTGCAGCTTGGAAGCAGTGCATTTGGATCATCCTCCTCTCCTAAAGGGCCTGGTCTAGGGGATGCTGGGAGCTGTAGTCCGGAAGAGAGTGTGGATATGCTATTGTGTGTTTTGTTTGCCAGGGGGAGTTGTTTTTGCACATGTGCTGTAGCTTCTTTTTTTGTTTTTTGCTTTTTAAGTTCCTTCTGCTGTGTTTTTCAGTGTTTTTATGAGTGATGGTCACTCATTGGCCTAATATGTGTATAGTGTCCAAATTTGGTGTCAATTTGTCAAGTGGTTTTTGAGTTATGTTAATCCCACAAACGAACATTACATATTTATTTATATAGATTCAAAAACATTTAACCTACTGATGCCTCAATTAATGTAATTTTATTATTATCTATTTTTATTTTGAAATTTACCAGTAGATGCTGCATTTCCCACCCTTGGCTTATACTCGAGTCAATATGTTTTCTCAGGTAAAATTAAGTGCCTTGGCTTATATTCGGGTCGGCTTATACTCGAGTATATATGGTACTGTCTGGCAGCTTAGAGACTGGACATGCATAACTAGGGACTAACAAACCCAAACGCTTGAAAACATCCAGGTTTTCAAATTCATGTGAAAAGAGGACAGTGTGGTGGCCTGCCTCACAATAATAATAATAATAATAATAATAATAATAATAATAATAATAATAATAATAATAATCTTTATTTATACCCCACCACCATTTCCCCAATGGGGACTCGGGACGGCTAACATGAAGCCAAGCCCAAATACAATACATCACAGCAAAATACAGAATGCAAACAAACAAACAAACAAAACTGTGGAGGGAGTTCCAAAGTTGGGGGACCATCACCAAAAAAGTCCAAGGATGTTTAGAGCTTGATTTCTTTTCTTAAAACAGGACTGAAGCCTATTCACAACAGAAATGAAAGGAAGTGGGATGGGAACACACGGGAAGTGCCAACCCATTTGAAGGAGAGAAAATCCCAATGCACAATGTGAACCAGAAAGAGTACTGAATATCTATTAGATTTCAAAAGCTGCCCCACCAAGAACAAATCTTTTCAAGCCCAAAAGGAAAAGGAGTGAAAACACCATATACCTGTCCAAAGCCTTTTTGACATTCTGAAAAAGAAAGAGATGGTTTTAGATACACAGAGGAAGCTTTGCAATCCTTGTTATTCTAACGGGGGATTCCTTTTCCCCTTTCCTTCTCTGTGGGAGGAAAAAAAATGCTGCTCCCACAATTGAAGTCTCACGAAAAGCATCCTCCTGCTCAATCTTACCTGTAAGAATTTATTTTCTGGCTGCTCACATCTCTCCTCTATTTCAGCGGTCAGCCGACAGACTTGGGAAATCCCTTCAGAGAGTTTGGTGACATTTTCGTCAGATCTCTTCTCTGTCTCTTTCACCATCTCTTCCAGATGAACCATCCATAAGCGCTGATTCTCTTCTAGAAACTGCCGCATTTTGTCAAAGGCAATTCTGGCCTTCTTGTACTCCTGTTCTAACATTTTCTGGAGAGAATACATGCAGAAATCAAAGAAGAAACACAGAATGAGAGGCAATGTAGCACAGCACTTTGAGTATGGGAATAGGGTTGCATCTACAGTACATAATGAATGCAGTTTGACACCACTTCAACCACCATGGCTCAATGCTATGGAATCATGGGAAATGTAGTTTTAAAAGATCTTTAGCTTTCTTTGCCAAAGAGTGCTGGCACCTCAACACACTCCAACTCGCCTGATTCTGTAAGATTGCGCCATGGGAGTGAAAGTGATGCATACAGAGAATTATATATATTATGTATTCGGGGCCATGGTGGCACAACAGTTTAAACCATTGAACTGTTGAATCTGCTGACCTAAAGGTTGGCGGTTTGAAGCCATGGGCTTGGGTGAGCTCTTGCTGTCAGCCCTAGCTCCTTCCAACCTAGCAGTTTGAAAGCATGCAAATGTGAATAGATCAATAGGAACTGCTTTGGTGGGAAGCTAATAAAGGCACCCATGCAGCCATGCCGGCAACACCACCAGGAGGTGTCTACGGACATAAGGCTCCTTGGCTTAGAAATGGAACAAGAGCACCTCCCCATGGCCAGAGTTAAGCACCACCTCCGGAAAGCCAGAGATGAAAGGGGAAGCCCTTACCTTTGTTCTGTGTATTTGTATGTCATTGTTAATCCACTGTATTAAGGCAATGAATGTTTGCCTATCTGTGTATGTTGCAATCTGCTCTGAGTCCCATTAGGGAGATAGAACAGAATATAAGTGTATTATTATTATTATTATTATTATTATTATTATTATTATTATTCCGGGCTGTGACACAGCTAGTTAGTAGTCAGCTGCATTACATAACTACTGACCGAGAGGTCATGAGTTCAAAGCCAGACTGGGTTGGAGTAAGCTCCCAACTATTAATAGTCTAGCTTGCTGTTGATCTATGTAGCCGAAAGACAGTTGCATCTGTCAAGTAGGAAATTTAGGTACCACTTTATGTGGGGAGGCTAATTTAACTAATTTACAACACCATAAAATCTCCAGCAATCATGCAAAGAATGAGGAAGAACTCAATCAGTGTCACAAATGGATGAAGCGACAGCTCCCCTGGTGGCCAGAATACTCTCATGAAAGCTGGAAAGTTAAATAGCCTCTGTGTGTCTGTCTATATATGCTGTGTGTCTATGGAATTGAATGTTTGCTATGTATACGTACATTGTAATCCACCCTGAGTCCCCTGCGGGGTGAGAAGGGCAGAATATACTGTAAATATACAACAACAACAACAACAACAACAACAACAACAACATTTCACTGGAAAAGACAAGGGTGCTAATTGTAAACTGGAATGGAAATATCAAAATTAGAAGTGATCACAGTGGCTAGAAGTGTCTGGGAATTAAAGTCCAAAAAAAGGAACTTTTTTGCATTCCGCAAAGGTAGGGGAAATTTTAAAAATGTCTTTTTTAATTGCCAGCAGATATGCCTTCCCATAGGCATGTGGACTACAACATGTGAATCAAAATCAATGAAAACCTACCCGAAAATCCTGTCTTCGCAGCTCTTCAAGAGTTTTCAGTCTCTTTAGTGTCTCTTTTTCTTTCTTCAGTCGTTCCAAAAAGACTTTGAATTCATCCTGCAGAAACATCATTTTTTGAAAAGGTGTTTCTTCCATTAAGTGGTCTATGATTCCACTCCTCCCTGATTGACCCCTGTGTGGTTTCTTTCTGTTTTTCTAGCTCTCTCACACACGCTACACAAAATCATTTTATGCCTTGAGAAAGACCAGGTAGCTTTTCTGTGACTTTTCTCTTTCTTTTGTTGTTTATTCGTTCAGTTGCTTCCCACTCTTTGCGACCTCATGGACCAGCCGACGCCAGAGCTCCCTGTCAGCCGTCACCACCCCCAGCTCCTTCAAGGTCAAGCCAGTCACTTAAAGGATACCATCCATCCATATTGCGCTTGGTCGGCCCCTCTTCCTTTTTCCTTCCATTTTCCTCGGCATCATTGTCTTCTCCAAGCTTTCCTGTCTTCTCATGATGTGGCCAAAGTACTTCATCTTTGCCTCTAATATCCTTCCCTCCAAAGAGCAGCCGGGCTTTATTTCCTGGAGTATGGACTGGTTTGATCTTCTTGCAGTCCAAGGCACTCTCAGAATTTTTAATTTTCTTGCATACATAAAATAATGCTATTTTTGGAACAAGCAGTGAAGTACTTATTACAGTATCCCCACCCCACCCCCTTATCAGTGAGTTTGCATTATGTGGTTTCAGTTATCCCAGGTCAATAGTCAAATATAATACAGTAGAGTCTCGCTCATCCAACGTTCTGTATTATCCAATGCAGTCTGCCTCTCACCTGGCTCCACAGCTGTTTCAATACATTAATTGTTTTGGTGCTAAATTTGTAAATACAGTAACAACATAACATTACCATGTAGTGAACTGCTTTTTCTGTCAATTTGTTGCAAAACATGATATTTTGGTGCTTAATTTGTAAAATCATAACATAAGTTGATGTTTAATAGGCTTTTGTTTAATCCCTCCTTATTATCCAACATTTTTGCTTATCCAACGTTCCACTAGCCCGTTTATGTTGGATAAGCAAGACTCTACTGTATCTTAAAATATTATGCAGCCCCCCACCCCATCCACAGTTTCATAGTCCGTGGCTACAGTTACCTGCAGTTCGCCAATTTTAGGTATCCCTAGAGCAGTGGTTTTCAACCTGGGGTCCCCAGATGTTTCTGGCCTACAACTCCCAGAAATCCCAGCCAATTTATCAGCTGTTAGGATTTCTGGGAGTTGAAGGGCAAAAACATCTGGGGACCCCAGGTTGAGAACCACTGATCTAGAGCATCTTTAAATGAATCCCCTGTGGATAAAGGGGCTCTATGGAACTAAAGCCCCCTTATCCAAAGGGGAAAATATTTCAGGTAATATTTTTGGTATTTTTTTGAAATATTTGATGCTTAGCCTAAGTATAACCTTTAAAAAATAGGCCACTGGTATTATTTTCCCATACTGGAGATCATAGATACAGGCCTGTAGCCAGGGGAGATTTTAGGGGTTCAACCCCCCCCCCAATTTTTCAGGTTAAAAAAACCCCTGGTTTACTCATGAATTTTAACTGGTTAACCAAATCCATGCTAAGTCTATGAGATGCAAAAAATTAAGAGTCCCTCCAGAACTGCAAGCACTATCTCAAACAAATATTGACAATTTATTCACACTGTCATTACTTGCAGCAATAGCCAATGTAGCGAAGCAACCAAGTTGGGGGTGTTGAATGCTCTCATTAAGGAGGCCAGACTTGGTGGAGGTGGTTGACAGGGGTGGAGTTGCAGGCTATTGAAGGCTGCTCTGCCCCCTGCTGTGCTCTTTGCTTCAGCGTGACCCTAACCCCCCCCCCTTGAAATTTTCAACATTCCCCGAAATCTTTTTCTGGATACAGCCCTGCATAGATATGAACCAATGTCTGGAGTTCCATCACCTTTGTCAATTCATCCAAAGAAAAGAGATATTAGATACCAGGATCTGGAAGCCCAGGGTTCCTCAAGTTGGCTACTGACTAAGTGAGGGGGACACACACATATTCCCTGTATTTTATTGGACTGTAAGAGGCTGAAATATCAAAAAGAGGTAGTGTCTGTCTTCATGTCTCAGGGAAACTGGGTGGTCAATCAGGTAAAGAAAGGAGATTCCATCTGAACATGAGGAAGAACTTCCTGACTGTGAGAGCCATTCAGCAGTAGAACTCTCTGCCCCGGAGTGTGGTGGAGGCTCCTTCTTTGGAAGCTTTTAAACAGAGGCTGGATGGCCATCTGTCAGGGGTGATTTGAATGCAATATTCCTGCTTCTTGGCAAGGCGTTGGACTGGATGGCCCATGAAGTCTCTTCCAACTCTATGATTCTATGAAAGCCAGAGATTGGCAAAGTGTCTTCTCAGGGACAAAAACATATATACACAACAAGTATAGACATTGGCCAAGCTGACCAAGAGGGGGAATTCCCTCAACACCACGATTCCCATTCCACATTTCATGGGGAAACTACAAGTCCCTGCTTTGGAGGATTGGCAAGGGATAAATGATGTGTCACTATCTCCTCGCATACCTTGTAGCTTTGGACTGCCTCCTCCACAGGGACCACATTGTGATTGCGGTGCATGAACTTCTTGCACACTATACAGATGGGGGCTCCGTCGTCCTTGCAGAAGAGGGAGAGCAAGCCCTGGTGCTTCTCACACATGCCCATTCTTGCTTCTAAATCTTTTTTCTTTTGAAGCTTCTTCACCAGATTGGCCACGTTGGCCAGTTGCCGGTTTGGCCTGAACTGCTTTTGCTGAATTGTTTCTCTGCACTGAGGGCAGGACACCTCTTTGCCCACCGCCTCCTCCCAGTACTGGCTGAGGCAGGCCTGGCAGAAATTGTGCCCACAGTCTATCGTCACAGGGTCCCGGAAACACTCCAGGCAGATGGTGCATGTCGTTTCATCAGAGAATTCCTCAAGGATGCTCTCCGCTGCCATAGCGGCTAAGGTCCTGGAAGCACAAGAAGCCACCTAGTTAGGAACTCAACAGGGTCAAATCAAAAGCCCTTCTAAAAGCTTTGCAAGCTGCCTTATGTCCCAATTTGGGAAAATGTCACAAATATTCATATGAAAGCCAACTTCATGTATAAATCAGGGGAGAGGTTAGAGGACAAACATTTTGGATTTTGATCTAACAGGTGGATTAAGTCGAGGGTCATTCCATGGAAAGTAGAAGGCACCCATGCCACCTCAAGGAGCCATCCACTATTTTTTTCCCCACCCAGGCATTCAAATAGTTAGAAGCAGCAGCACAATTGAGAGACTAGAGGTGCTCTTGCTTCTTCTAGGTCAGTGGTTCTCCTAATGCCACGACCACTTAATACAGTTCCTCATGTTGTGGTGATCCCCAACCATAAAATTATTTTCATTGCTACTTCATAACATTAATTTTGCTACGGTTATGAATTGCCATGCAAATATCTGATATGCAGGATGTATTTTCAGTCATGGGACCAAATTTGGCACAAATACCCGATATGACTAAATTTGAATACTGGTGGGGTTGGCAGGGATTACTTTTATCATTTGGGAGTTGTAGTTGCTGGGATTTGTAGTTCACGCACAATCAAAGAGCTTTCTGAACTCCACCAACGATGGAATTGAACAAACTTGGCACACAGGACTCCCATGACCAACAGAAAATACTGGAAGGGTTTGGTGAGCATTGACCTTGAGTTTGGAAGTTGTAGTTCACCTACATCCAGAGAGCACTGTGGACTCAAACAATGATGGATCTGGACCAAACTTGGCACAATACTTAATATGCCCAAATGTGAACATGGTGGAGTTTGGGGAAAATAGACCTTGAGATTTGAGAGTTGTAGTTGCTGGGATTTATAGTTCACCTACAATCAAAGAGCATTCTGAGCCCCACCAATGATAGAATTAGGCCAAACCTCCCACACAGATGCCCCATGGCGAATAGAAAATACTATAAAGTGTTATCAAACTACACTGATTTGACAGGGGGCTGGAAGAAGACTGAGCTGTTGGCTTTCTGTATTGCTGCTACTAAGTACTGTAAATTAGTAGCAAGTGCCATCTGCTGGAAAAATCATGTAAAGACCAAAAAACCTAAGGTTTTGAATTCCTTTAGGTTTTTCGCTGAACTTTTGCCTTTTAAAAATTTATTTGTATGCTTTTTTTTAAACTTCCGGTACTTTTGGTTGTGGGTACATTTGTCTACTTCATACCTAAATCTTTGGCTTTTGGTGGGTGTGCATAGAGTAGTGTTTCTTTTGTATTGTTGAAGGCTTTCATGGCCGGAATCACTGGGTTGTTGTAGGTTTTTTGGGCTATATGGCCATGTTCTAGAGGCATTCTCTCCTGACGTTTTGCCTGCATCTATGGCAAGCATCCTCGGAGGTAGTGAGGTCACTACCTCTGAGGATGCTTGCCATAGATGCAGGCGAAACGTCAGGAGAGAATGCCTCTAGACTATGGCCATATAGCCCGAAAAAACCTACAAAAACCCAGTGTTTCTTTTATTTGTACTTCTCTGGTTTTTCCTTTGTTATTAGCTGATGTTTGGTTTGTGTTATCATTAATATTTCTTTACATATAGCTCATCTTCCTCTCCTGAAGGAG